AGGTAAGGGTGGGGAATGTAGGCGGAATGTAGATGAGGGCCTTGAAATTCTAGGCCAAGACGCGAGTCTGATGACATCTATGGAAAACAATTTTATTTGCTTTTAGAAGAGCACTTGAATAGTTAGGATTCCTGCCCAAAGTTACTGACCTCCATGCTTCACGATGTGATGGAATGGAAAGTTACATCGCAGCAGCCGAGGCCAGGCCACAGTGCGGGCTGGGGGGAGTGGGAGGGGATGGCTGTCAGCCATGCGGGGAGCACGCCAGGCCTAGACCTAAAACCCTGCCCCTTCAGCAAGTATAGCAAGTATACCTGTTACCAACACGGTGGGTGTCTCCAGATCAGTCCTGTCTTGTCCCCTGCTCCAAAGCCTGGCCCATGATCCTCAGCCCCTCACCCTGGGGTCAGCACCAGGACCCCTGGGACCTGGGCCTTCAGGCTGTCCTGCCCCAAACTACTTTCAAAAGAGACAATCCTTCTGAGGCGTACATGTCCCTCCACGCTCAGCAACTGTCAAGGCTGCCACTGCTAAGAGTGAGGTCTTTAATGCTCCCAATGTGATATCCCGGCTCTGTGCCCAGCTCTGGTCCACAGGCCAGGATTGGAGCCATTAATCTGGGCTTAGGGGGAGGCCCAAATCCTCCCTTGGTTAACCTTCAGGCCCACCACAGGAGAGACACAGGTAAGGACACAATTCCAGGTAGCCTCCAAGGTCCAACTTCCTGAGCTCCATCTGCCTGCTTGGCTGCCTCATTCCCAAAGGGTGCAACCAAGTGATCTAGTCAACTATTCCAACCCCAAAGCACCAACTCCCACATGCCCATGGCTCCAAACTGCTCAGAGCAGATGGGTGGAATGAGAGGGCAGGTGCGGAGGCTGGGCTGGAGCTGGCAACGGACCTGAGCTGGGCCCAGGCTCTTCCACCCACTGACCGCACGGGCTTTTAGCTGGGCGGTGCCTCACTTTTCCTAGCTTTTAAGTGGAGCTAACAGAAGTAGCTATCCTACGGGGGTTTGCGACAATTAAATGAGAAATATAACATTTTTTGTTTTTGTGTTTTGAGTGCCAGATGGAACCTTGGGCTTTGTGTATGCTAGGTAAGCATTCTAGCACTAAGCTATACCCTCAGCCCCTAATCCAGGCATGCTAAACAAGCCTGGGGTCACTGAATGGCAAATCACATTGGAAAGTATTATAAGGCATGTTATACTACAAGTTATCAGGGGAGACTTCTAGTAGCTACATATTATTATTATTATACATCCTTATCAGGTTATTAATTAAGAGCCATCTGGAGACTGAACAGCCAAAGACTGGAACATTCTGTGGCCACCTTCTCAGGGAAGGGGACTGGGCGCCTGAAAACACGGTCTCAGAACATCCTGCGGGGCCACTTTCCCAAGGATAATCACTGGTCTGTCTAAGGCCCAGGTTGGAGCCCAACCGCCCAAACAAACACGCCTTCCTCCCTATGGGGCCAGGCCAGAATAAGCGTCTTATGTCACTGATAACCACAGGCCAGGGTTGGAGCCATGTTGAGCCAACTGGCGGTGACCTCATTTCCTTGGATTACATTCTCTGGTGAGAGAGGGGCGCTGACCCTGTGGCTATTCAGTGACTTGTGAGGGCCTGCCACCCAGAAAAAGAAATGGTCACCTTCAGTTCTTGCCAAGCCTGCAGGGCTTCCTAGGGATCAGAGGTGTCCATGATTGTAAATCCCCAAAGGGACAATCCCTTTTCACTCTGAGGGCTGCTTAGGTCCTCAGTCCCTGTTGCTCTGGGCAGCTCCTGAACTGCTGTAAGGAGGTAACAAGGAAGGAAGAGCCCCTGGGGCATTATGCTGCTGTGGATGACAGGACTCCCTGTTCATCCTGCTTCCCCGCCTTGCTCCAGCCACCAACACTAAAAAAAAAAAAAGAAAGTGTGTCAGTCCCCACCCAGACACAAGGCATACACCATCAGGGCCCTTGCACCTTTAAGCCTCCTCTTGCCCCTCAGCTTCACTCCTCTCTGGGGATGTGGTGGGATCTATGCAGGAGGCAGGAAGAGGAAGTCCTGGGGCAGGGGAGGGGACAGCAGTGGGAACACACTGTGCCCTGCCCTCAGTAAACAGCTGAGCAGAGCTGCTTGGGGTGAGCTGCTGGTGGCATGCTTGTTTGGGGCACTGGGAGCACTCCAGGTGCACAGCAGGTGGGGCACCGCCTGCCCTCCTCCCCTGCTCTGACGTCAGAACTCACTTGCCAGTGCCCTACCTTGCAACCTCACCACTAGCTGAGCTGACTAATTCCACACTGAATTGTTAGCAGGGTGTCAAGGAAGCCGGCTCTGAAACAAACAGGGAAGGGGTGAGGGAATTAACATCCACTGGGCGTGGATCACCTGCCAGGAGCAGAGTGGCCCCCAAACCTGCTCAGAGTTCAGTAGGGAGTATACTGGCAGGCCAGTGGCTACCACAGTCCACCAGGCACTAGGTTAAATATCTTTCTGCTAAATAATCTGTTTAATCTCCTCAAATATCCCAATAGCCCCTGCGGCTTCTTCATCCTACATCTCCTTCCCCATTGTGCTGTGTTCTCCAGCACATATTGCATACCACTAAATCACACACAATCACCTCTTTGTATCTGTGGAAGGCTGGGGGTGACTCAGTAGCTAAGTACTTGCCTAGCATGTGCAGAGCCCTAGGATCTATCCCCAGCACCAGCCACCCACAAACACACACACACACACACACCCATACACACGCTCTCACACTCACACACAGTGTGTCTGTACTGAACGTATACAGACTTTTTTCTTGTCATTCTCTGCACAAAATCATACAACAGTTATTTGCATGATTTACAACAGCGATTGTAAGTTCATCTAGTGATGATTTGAAATATAAAGAAGGATGCATACAGGTTATATCCAGAGAGTAGGCCATTTGGTAGAAGAGATTTGAGAACCTGAGGACTTTGCTATTTTGGGAGGGCCCTGGAATCAATCTCCCAAGAATCTGTGGGATGAGTGGAGTGTAGCTCTGTCTCCGTGTTTGCTGTCTGTCCAACACTGCCAGGTCAGCTCCTCTGAGTGTGCAGCAGTGAACACCCAGACCTGGCCCAGTGCCCTCACCCAAGGAGTAAGTCCCTCCGGTGCTCAGCTGTGTCCAGGGCTTTGATTGTACCTACACCACCTTCCACCCTCTCTGCTGGCTCACTTTGCCTGTCACGTCACCCTTCCTTTTTATTTTTTGAGACTGGGTCTTGCTATGTAGTTTATTCTGGATGTCCTTGAACTCACTGTCACTATGTAGACCAGGCTGTCCTTGAACTCATGCCTGCTGTAGCTTTCTAAGTGCTGGGATTACAGGCATGTGCCACTCTGCCACAGGTCAGCCTTCTTTCTGTTCTTCACGTACACCAGGTAATCCCTGCCTCATGGCCTCTCTGCACTCCCCAGTGTTCCTGTCTACAACACTTGAAGCCCCCAGTCTAAGTGCCTGGCCCTTGCTGCTCTCATCTGTGTACCTTACTGAGAACATGACAGGGCTGGAGAGCATCCCCTCGCCATCCCAGAGAGTAGAGTGAAGCCCAGGGAGGGCACAGAGTGCCTGCCCAGCACGTAGTGCCGACTTCCTAACTCTCAATAGCAAGTGGCAAACTCCTGCCTCTCTCTCTGCTCCTACCTCTGATTTGATTCACGATGAGAGTCACTCCTGAGACATTGAAGGGCCCCAAATGCACAGAACAGAAGATGCATGCCTTGGGCAAGGTCACCCCCCATGACAGGGCAGAGAAAAACAAAAATTCTGTGACCCCTGCCTTGCCACAGACATCACCTTGTGGGAAGTAGACAAAGACTCTTCCAAAGCTGAATGGCAGCTTTGACTCTGGTCTACTCTTGCTCATTTGGCCAGAAATCCTGAGACTCAGAGGTTCAGTAATTTGAGGTCACACGACAACGAAGCAGCGCTTGAGCAAATCTGGGCTTCCCAGTGCCTGTCCAGTGTTTTCTCACCACTGTATTAGGCCCCTATGGCTTGGTTCCCTTAGGGTTAAAAAACAGGAATGAAGTACAGGGGAAGGAGTCTCTCTCAAAGCTACAGAGAGAAACGAATGCAGTGGGGGTGATACCAGCACCGCTCTGGGCTTGGAAGCCACTACCTAACTGTGGGACAGAGGGCAGGTCCCTTCATCTCGGGAGTCTCAGCCTCCTCCCAGACCACCTGAAAGTGAGAGGCGGTAAGATCTGCCTAGCGTCAGGGCCATCTGTGCAAAGGCAGCTGAGTTGCCGCTTCTTAGTGTCTATGGTTGAAAGGGAGGCAAAGGAAACCAGAAATTCCATGAGTAGGAAAAAAAAAAATTCCAGCATTGGCTCAGCTGCTCCATGCTTTGTGGGTTGCAAACACAGGAATGAAGAGGCTTTGAAGCCAGTGGCCAACGCAGAAGCTCTGTCTTAGAGAGCAACAGAAACAATTCCAATGGCATTGTGTGTTACACACCCCCAGGCGCTTAGCAGGCTAAGGACAGCGGGCAATTCTAGGAATCAGAGATGAATCAAGTCTGTGGCACGTCACTTGCTGCCAGGAAGCCCCCCACTTCTCCCTAATTCCTCTTAAAGCCTGGCCTAAGAAACAAGAGAGGGCCTCATGGAGGGGCTGGGCTGAGGTCCTTCTCCACAGCTTTCCACCAGAAGCCACTCTGAGGAAAGCCCTGGTGAGATTCTGAGGAGAAACGCCACTGAATGGGATGGGAGAGAAGAGAGAATGGTCTCTCTTGTGTGTGGACTGGCAGAGGCCCCAGCCCACCTGAGCCCAAATGTTTTCTTTCTCTTTGCTAAAGCAACATTCACAGTTGGTTTAACTTCAAAACCCTTACTAAAAAATGAGAGTGACTGATATCACAATGTTGGCAACAGAAGTTAGAAGGTTCAAAGGCTTCTGTCCTTTTTCAAAACACCCCCCTCTCCTCACTGGGGTCCCCGAAAGCCCGTGCTGCCCACCAGGATAAGACTTACACTTCTGTCGTGATGAATCCAGTGAGTTCTGAAAGGAAGAGGAAGAGGATGAAGAGGCAGCAGCAGATGGAGACTGCAAGAAACAACACGGAACATGAGATGGTTAAGAAAGGGAGGTCGGCCCTCCCCACCCCTGCTGCCGGCTCAGGAGAAAACCTACCTGGAGGTCCCAGCATGCATGATGTTCCCACAGAACCTCCCAAGACCCCTCAGCCTCAGGGCCCCTGTATGAAGCAGTTCCACCTCCAGAAAGGGAGTCTGGTATGCTCTGACTCTGGGGTCGCAGTGGGCCTCCTGTATGTGGACCCTGGACCTTGCCTACCACACTCCTCCATGCTCTTTAATGTAGGTCAGCCTGAAAGAAGGGGTGTTTGCTGGGGCTCACCAAGGTGCTATGCTTGGCCCAAGTGGTATTTGGCCTGCCTGCCTGCCTGTCTGTCTTCTATGCTACAGAGTGGACCCTGAGTCCCATGTAAACCAAGCACTACTACTGAGCTACACCCTATTTCTCAAAACTAAGACCTAATCAGAAAATGAGCCCTAGAAAAAAAAAAAAAAAAGAAAGAAAGAAAAGAAAAAGAAAGAAAGAAAGAAAAGAAAATGAGCCCTAGCATGATTTTTCAGGATGCTTGTAATATAAGCCCTACCCTGAAAACAAGCCCCAGGAAAGAACATCTGCCAGAGGGATATATTGTTTTGTTTTCTGAGGGATGGACTCACTGAATTATGATGGTATTCCAGAAGATGACATGACTGTATTTGAATAAATGTAGGGTTTTGTACCTGGATAGTTATATCATTGTACATGAAAAAAGAAAGACATTCTCTGAAAAAAGCCTGTTGTGTCCTCTGGAGCAAAAATCAATATAAAACCCTGTCTTATTTTTAGGAAAACGCAGTACTTGCAGCACAGAGTGACGTCTATTTTAAAATTTGGTGTCTGCATTGAACATCTGAGATATTTCATGTAAGAGCCCAGATTTCCCACTTTCACAGAACGCCCACCCCGTTTCCACGTAAAGCAGTGACAGCGAAAATTCTAGAGCTTTCAGTGACAGGAGCAGCCAGCTGCGGCACACGTGCCATAACTTTGTCACTGCCGATACAGAGTCTGGGACGTCCAGGCTGCCACAGGACCGCCTGTCTCCCCACTTCGGACACTGGGCAGAGTGTCTGCTGCCATTGGTCTACACGTCCACGCTTTCCACTTCACAGTGGGGTGGAAGTGGTACATTCAGTAGAAACAATACTTTGAATTCGGATCTTTTCCCAGGCTAGAGATGTACACAGCACCTCTCCCCACCTTTGGCAGGAGAGCCAGCCTGATGGAGAGTCTTCCACAGAAGACACAGCCACGTCCTGAGAGTGCCGCTGCTAAGCCGCCAGGGCAGCAGGTTGGGAAAATCCAGTGCTTTTTTTTTTTTTTTTTTTTTTTTTTGGAGACATAGCCTCACTGTCTCACCTAGGCTGGCCTTAAGCTTATGATCTTCCAGGATTAGCCTCCAGATTTGTTGGGAGTATAGTCACAAGCTATGACATCCAGCTCAACACATTTTTGATTTATATTTTCAACCTAGAATGAGTTTATCAGGCTATAATTCTATCAAAAGTCAAGAGGCACCTGTATTTTTCTATATCTACTTACCTTCCTTCCTATCTTTCTATTTATCTACCTACTTTTCCATCTATATAACATCCACTCATACATCAATCATCCATGTTCCTGTCCATCTGTCTGTCTGTCTGTGTTCCTTCCTACCTTCCCACCTACCTACCTATCCTAATAACAAATGGCCAATGATGCATTCTGAGTAAAGGAAGAAAACAAGCACTTGCTGGGCACCTACTGCATGCCTGCTATGAGTACGTTAACAGACAGCCTGTCCCATCACATTTCTACCAGTCCTGACGAGGGCCCTCACCATGTTAAGGGCTCAGGGAGAGAAACGGATTGACGGCATGTGGGCTGAGGGAGGCGGGATGCACAGCCTGCCTAGCAGATCCAGCACACCAAGGAAAGGGGCCCCAGAACTTGGGTTATACATGAAAGGCAGGATGTCATCAAATTGCCCACAAGTCCCTACACTTACAGCGAGTTATCCTGTGGAGACTACAATGCTCCAAATGGTTACTGAACTTTGAAAAAGTACAGTTCTGGCATTTAACAGTTTTACCTTTTTAAAAAGAAAAAAAAAGGGGCTGGAGAGATGGCTCAGTGGTCTAAAGCACCTACTTAGAACAAGCTTAGCAAAAGCATCAGGGACCGCGGTTCAATCCCCC